GATCTCAGCACTTGGGAGGCAGAGGCAGGCAGATCTCTGTGAGTTCAAGGCCAGCCTGGTCTACATAGTGAGTTCCAGGACAGGGCTACAAGGAGACCCTGTCAACCAAAAAAAAAAAAAAAAAAAAAAAAAACACTAAAGAAACATTACAGCAGTCTGAGTCAGGACTCAGACCTCACAGAACTTCATGGCAGGTCTGTAGTAACTATACAGAGAACTGGCGTTCGGAGAAAGAAATGCACATCTCCTGTCAGGTAGTCCCTTCACCGGGTGACTGACTGGTCCAGCTGGGTTAATTCTTATTTTTTGGTCAGCTTGAAATGTTAGGTCTCCACCCAGGCCAGAGGCATATTCAAGACGAAATAGCTTTCTCATAGCGTGCCTCAGTAGAGCCTTGATCAAAGCTACTGTAACAGAATATGTTACGGAAACTCATGAGTCTTCTTGGCCATACCACAAGTGATAGAAAAAGGAAGAGGAGGAGAAAGAAGAGGAGGAGGAGGAGGTGGAGGAGGAAGAGGAAGAGGAGGAGGAAGAAGAGGAGGAGGAAGAAGAGGAGGAGGAAGAGGAGGAAGGGGAAGGAGGAAGAGGAGGAGGAGGAGGAAGAGGAGGAGGAGGAAGAGGAGGAGGAGGAAGAGGAAAGGGAAGGAGGGGGAGGAATGGGAAGGAGGAGTTCTCTTACTGGCTCTTATTGTTGCTACAATACTTTGAACTCTCTACCAAGTACAGCTTTCCCATTGACCCTTGAAATATGAAATAAAAGCTCCTTTATTTCACAGTTTAAGCACCTACCTTATCATAAAGCCTGTCTTTCACAATGAGATCTGCCTTTCACCTCCCCACTGTCCCTGGCTCAACCTCACCCTTCCTCTTGCTCCCTAGGCCTAGGGCACCCCATCCTCTGAACTGCTGCTTGAACTCTTGCCATACACCTTCAGCCTCAGAGATTTCTTCCAGATGTCTCCTGATGACTCTCTCTTAACTCCTGCAGGCCTCTGTTCAAATGTTACTTTATCAGTCAAGCCCTCCTGAACCAACAGACTAAAAGAGCTGTCCTCATGCCCAACTTCTGGAATTCATCCTTTCCCTTCCCCCAAATTATTTTTCAGTAATTTACTTCATCTCTTTGACTTACTTCTCTGTCTCCAATGCTTATGACTCAAATACTTATTAAGTTAGAGTCCAGTAAGTGTTCAATGAGTAAATAAACAAACAAAGGCATGGTACAGTTCCATGGACCACAGCAAGGAGATAATATGGTATGTGGAAAGGGTGTGGCCCTTTAAAAGCCTTTTCATTTATTCTCTGCATTAACCTCCCTAAACCAGAATTTCATCTGTGAAGAGAAGAGCAACAGTTATCAGGCACCTACCAAATCTAGTTCTTCTCTCTCCCTTCTCTCTGCCTACAAATGTGTTTCTGTCGCCATGAAACAAACTTAAGATGATTTAAGTTCTGAAATGGCTGAAGGGAAAGTAGTATTTAGGTCATGATCAGAAAGAGCATTGAAAGGAGCAGACCCCTGAGCAGCACAGCCCCATATGATTATTCTTGTGTTTGACTGCAGGTTTTATCTGAGATACAAACAGGGCATGTTCTCTGCTGAAGGTGCTATCCTCTGTCTGGGAACCCAGGAGGAAATACAGAGGGTGGCTTCATGGAGCTATAGAACTGGCTTTGCCAACGTGACTACTTCCAGACAACGCTAAGTCTGGGAAACATTTCAGAGAGGAAACAGAAGAAACCAAATGGGAGTGTGGCCATAACAGGGGCTCCAACTAAAAGGTCAGGAGGAAGGTGGACACAAAAGGTGACATCAGACTAACTACAAATGACCCTGAATATAAGAGTGAACGGATTGGACTTAATCCTGTCTTTCTTGGAGAGCCACTAAAGTTTTAGAATTCTGGGGGGAAAAAAGTAAGATTATATAATGAAACTGATAAATTTCAAGGCATTTGTAAAGACTTCTGAAAGCCAGCCACTAACTGGTACTAGTGCACCCAGTGACACTCAGAAAAACAAATGGCATGCTCTTAGGTGGGAATGAATTAGTCTGTTAGTCCTGCCTGGTCCTCACTATTTGATCTACTACAGAGGGGAGACTTGAGCTGAAAAAGACTCAAAGTATTAAAAATCCTGAGTTAACACTAAAAATCAACAACAACAACAAAAGTCAACAGGTCTCAACAAACAAACAAACAAAACATGAGGACCCTGACTGCTAGCTGTTTGTAGCCATAGTGACTACAACGACTACAGTGAAGGTCTCTTGCCAAAGTTCCTCTCCATCACTACCCAGTCTCGTCCTTTAAGAAGATTTCTTATTTTTTCTTAAATCTAACTAGAACTATAATGACCGTCTGAGTTCAAAAATGCTGAAACTCCTACTTCTGTGCATGTAAAGTAAAAAAGGTAAAATGTTACTTAATTTAACTCAAAAAAATGAAAATGAAAATGAAAATTAAGCTGTTCTAAAACCTGCTAAAAGTCTTGGCACAATAGAAATCTAGAACTGAAATTATTAAGGAATAAAGTTTTAGAATATCAGAAACCAAGGACCTTACTTTGAGGGTCTGAATGCTGTCAGAAAGCTGGTAAGTAAACAGCAGGATGTACTGAGATCTGCTTGGGTTTATCTGCCCTTCTCACAGCATGGATGTGATTTATTTAGGCTATCAAAGAGCTTTTGATAAGGTTCTCACAAGTGGCTATTATTGAGATTTGGTAACCATGGTGTGAAAAGAAAAGTTCTATCAATGAATTAAATGAACTTAAAATGCTTGAGAGATAAAGAGGCAAAAGCAGGAATGAATGGGCAATTCTCATGTGAGGAAAGGTTAATTGTAGAGGGCTGTGAAGCTTTGTGGCAGAATCCGAATTATATTTAACTACTGACCAGGAAAGGGGCACCCAATTCCCATCCCCACCCCCCCCTCTATGTGTATCAGTCCCCCACACAGAGCCTCCATTGACACAAAGAACATTTGACACATGGAAATGATACAAAGTAGAGGAGTGTTTGAAACCCAGGAAGGAACAAATGGGTAAATGAATATTCAGAATTTTATGTAAAGGTCCCCAAATGCAAGACAACAGAAATAAAAGTACTGTTGGCAGGACTTTGCTTTCTAAGAACTCCAATTTATGGTATGTGGAAACACATGCACAGTCCCCAAAGTGTAGGTATGGCATCTGAGCAAAGCATCAAATTCACTGACATGACAAAAGCAAATTTCGAACACAGAAATGCTTCCGTGGTCATTTGGATTCACAAAACCCACAGAAACTATTTCTACAAATTGAGAAGTTTAGAAGCAAATGAAAGTGAAACTTACAGGAAAGAGTAGGAATTATGAGCTTTTGTAAGGAACAATTTAAAAACTGGTATAGGTTTTACCATAGTAAAACCCAACAGAATGGATAATTTAGAAACCACTCTACTTAATTAGCATGAATTTTTTATGATTCAACTCTTAATCTGGCATTTTCCATCACAGCAATCCATTCACACCAAGGGCTCAGAAAATCTAAGGAAATCTTGGCTTTTAATCCCTGTATCTTGGTTTCTTTATCTGTAAAGTGGGAATAGAACCTACCTCACAGGATGATTATAAGGGTTAAATGACAGAGTGTGTGACTCATTGAACCAAGACGAAATACAAATTAATAATAAATTCTCATTGTGCTTGTTATTGTTAATAGTTTGTAATATGCTCAAGCCAAACAGACACAGACCACAGAGAAGCAATCTAATTGAAGTCACTGTGACTTGTTAGGACTCAGTATTTAATAAAACATTTAAACGCTTTCAAATGTTTTTTAACAACAAACAACTTTAAGATGTTTTGCCATTAACCAATTTTGGGAAATGGAAGAGAATTACAAACTGATCTAAATAAGAAGAAAGAAGACACACGAACCCCTAAATGATGCATATCAGATATCCTGATATGGTTAAGTACTGGGTCCCAACTTACCGTGCAGATAATATTTGAATAAGTTCTTTCCTATTCTGTACCCGAAGATGGTTGGTTTTATACTTGGAGTCATCAGTCAACTCAGGCAATTTCAAGATCTAAAAGGAAAAAATAAAAGTATAATTCACAAGTTTTTAATGTACCTTTATGCCCTAGTGAATTGCAGAATTCAGGGTCTGTCTCTCTCATCCCAAGATCCTAGCATTCTTAGCTTTATACTTTCAACAAGAGGATGGAGGAGCAACACAAAGCTGGAGAGAGCATGCTAGTGAATGGGTCTGTCAATTATACCAGACTGTTTTACTATATTTATGCATATATCCCTACATTCATATACATATATATGAATTATCAAATATATACATATATGAATTATCAAATCTTCATAAGAAGGCATATCTAGAGTAAATACAGAGAAAGATCCAAAAACTGAGTAAGTCTAACTCAATTCTAAGAACAAAAATTTTCAGTGCTTTCATGTACCTATATAAAACCTACTGTCAGCATATATCTTAGACACATTGACTTATTTGTTCCACATGTAAATAAAACAATATCATCTATCCCAGTAGTCCTATTCAGGATGTTGTATAAGGTGCTAAAATAAAGGGAAAGCACAAACATTTTTCCAAATTCTAACCATTAATGCAATGTCAATAGAAAAGATCTTTTTCTTGCAAGAGTGTCACTATTTCTCTCTAGTGTGCCTCCCTGAAGGAATACTTACTCGAAAGCCTGCTACAAGCTTCCTTTTTGCTGCCCCTCACGAGATAGAGAAATCTATCTTGCAAACCCCTTTGGACATCTTGCAGTCTTAACAAGACCATAATGAAAGTACCAAGTGGATTTGGAATGGAAAAGATGTTTTGGGAGTATGTGTGGAGGCAGAGTTTGGCAGTTGTGCTGGAAAGTCAGGAGCATTTATGGGCTGAGGCAGGCCATGGGGACTACAGCAAGTCTTAATCTTTTATTAATATATTTTCTTTCAATATAAACACTTGATGGTTTCATCTGTTTCCCACAGTTTAAATAAAATCAATCCATTAATCATCTTATAAAGGAGAGAGAGAAGCGAAGAAGACTCCCCATAGTTGAGAGACCATCCCAATGATTCAATTCCTCTTTCATGTCTTCTGAAATCCTTTCCTTTAGGGATAATAACGACAGCATTACCATACCTGTCACCACATCTGATCCCAGAATTAGCCTAAAGGCTTTTCTCTAGTCACAAACCCTCCTTTCTCAATAATAAATGAATCATTTGAAGAATAAACAAGTATCTTCTCTAAGCAACAGGCTAAATTTGCAAGTCAGGTTGCTTGTAGAATATGTTACTGCCAGCTACATGGAAAAGTCCCTGAGGGTCTGGGATGCCATGGGTCATCTGCAGATGACTTACTGGACTTCTTTTCTCTTTCAATCCTGGTGTAAAACAGTGGGTCAAGTAGTGATACTTCTGCCCTTTGCTCTGCTGGCTGTCTAGAGATATAGCATCTAGGACAATGGTCCTAACCATCCTGAAGGTGCTTGAAAAGGAGGGCAGCCTGGAAATAACAAAGCTGTATTATGTGCTTACCATAAATAAATATGGACTACTGCAACTAAGCACTCTTTCCCTTAAGTAATGAAGCATGTATTTCTTCAAAAGAAAAGACAGGGAAGGAGGAAAGAATGTAGCTGTTTCTATTGATCTATTGCCTCTTAAAAGAGCTGCTTGTCAGGGGGAAATTGTGTCAATCACTGCTGCCTATAGGTCTGTGTTCATGAATACTGCTGTCACTTTATGTATGTCACTGATACAGCATACATCAAATTCCATTACCACCTAAAATTCTATTAATATGTAATCCTACTATAAATTTGTGATGATCATACTTCAGAATTGAAGTAAAAGAACTTTGTGTGTAAGTTACAGTATAAGAATTATTGGGCTGTCGAGATGACTCAGCAGGTAAAGCTACTTTGCCTCCAAGACTGATGACCTAAGTTGAATCCCCAGGACCCATATGGTGGAAGGAAAGAACTGATTACTTCAAGTTGTCCTCTGACCTCCATATGCATGCTGTGACACCACATAATACATACACAAATAAGTAAATAAATATTTTTTAAAAGAATTATTAGGATGTTGTTTTTAGGTAAAAGTAAACATCCTTTGTTAAATGTGAGTTTTCCCAAATTGGGGGCCTATTTAGACTACCCAGTACGCCTCTTCCAGTGCAAATGGTGGGTAAGTCCTTGCTACAAAAAGGTTTGGGATAGCCATAATCAGCCCACAGTCATGACAGCCCTATTTCACCTTTCTTTATGAGATCTGTTTGGTTTTTGTGTCTGTTACCATCCTCTTACTTTAACTTATCAATATCATTATATGTGAAGTGAGTTTATCTGATATAGCATAGAACTGAATCATGAATTATTTAATAAATAAAATATCCATTGAAATACTTTTAAAGGAAGTAAATTATAAAATAATACACTATTTGGTTCTAATCATAGGAAAAATAATAGGCAGAATTGATGTATGATAACAGAAATAAGACAGTGGCTTGACTAATTTACATCCCATCATCAGTGAGTAGGAATTACTTTCTTATCATCACCAGTGGTTTTTTTTTTCTATTTTCTTTTTTATTCATTATTTGAAAATTTTTATAGCTGTAGACAATGCATCTTAATCATAGCAACTCCCAGGCCCCTCCAACTCCTCCCTACCCCATCTATCTCCCTTCCAGTTTCAAGTCCTCTTTTTTTTATATAACCCATTAAGTCCAGACAGTACTGTCTGTATGTACCTGGCTGTGGGAGTGTCCACTGGGGCCTGAGCAATATGCTAGTGGCCAATTCCCAAAGAAAAGTATTTCTTGCTCCCCAGCAACCACCAACTGGTACTCAGTTAGTGGTGGGGCTTCAGGAGCCCTTCCCCACCCATTCTGCAATGTTTAACTGGCTTGATCTTGTGCAGGCCTTGTATAGGTAACTATGGCTGCTGTGAGTTCGTGTGTGCACCAGCCATGCCAGGTCCAGATGACAGCATTTCATAGCACTTTTCCGCATCCTCTGTCTGGGATATTCTTTCTGCCCTGTCTTCCACAATGTATCCTAATGAATCCTCTTGTGTGGGGATCATAGATATGCCCCATCTATGAAACAATCACCTATTCTCAGCATTTTTAAGAGTTATGAGCCACTGTATTAATCACTATGTACAGCAATAAGAAGCTCCTCTGCCCCATGAGAGCAACACGGATTTACAGATATAAAGATAAATGTTTAGAAGATGGTTTGACAACATTTAGCAAAACAAATCAAAAGGTTTCCTCCTTGAGTCTATGACGTTCTTAGTCATGGATTTTGACCATGTTTATTTATGAATTCCCTTCTGTGGAGCAGGTTTCAAATCCAATCAAGCGAGTGGCTTGTTACCCTCATAAACAGTCTCACCACTATTACCATTGGGCACATCTTCCCTGGTATGTGGATACATTTGTAAGATTTGTAAAATTTATAAGACACTGACAAAAAGCAACTTTATGGAATGGAGAAAGGAGTTTATTGCAGTTAAAAATTCTAGGTAACAGTCCTGTGGGAACTGTTAAGTTATGATCAAACTCATCCACATTCCCTCTACTCAGGTCCTCCTCCATACTTCCTATACTAAACCCTCCAAAATTCATCTACTGGAGCACGTGTGACCTTTCAGTGGTCACATCCTTGAGGAGAACTGACTCTGACTCTCGCTCTCCCAGCATCCATCAACTGCCAAAAGCCCCTCAGCTAAGGATGGGACTTTGTGAACACCTCCCCTCTCCATGCTAAGATTTTTTCTGGCTTGAGTTCGTGCAGGTCTTCTGCATGCTGTCATAACCTCTGTGAGTTCATATATGCAACTGCCTTGGGGTGTCCTAAAAACAGTTTCAATGTAGTAATTCACCCTCTCTCACTCTTAGGATCTATCTGCCCCTTTCTTCCACAGTAATACATGAGCCTTGAGAGGAAGGGCTATGATATAGGTGTCTCATTTAGGGATGAGCACTCCACAGCCTCTTATTCTTTGCAACATGACCAGTGTGGTCTCTGTGTTAATCACCAAAAAGAAGCTTCTCTGGTGAGAGTTGGGAGAAGCTCTAATCCATAAGTGTAACCTAAGGCACTAAGAGTCAGTTTAGTACTATGTCCATTTAGCAGAATAATAGTAGTAGGCTCTCCCTTAGGACCCATGAGCTATCTAGTTGCAGGTTCTTGGCCTCAGTAACAGTGCCAAGCATGAGTTCCAGCTTGTGGAGGGGATCTTAAGTTCAATCAGAGAGTGGGCAGTTTTTCCCATAATATTCATGTCATTATTGCCCCTGTGTGCATATCCTGCCAGGTCATTACAGTAGCTCCTGTGGTTCACAGCTGGGTAAGATTAATGACTGTTTTTCTCCTACATAGTATGCATAGCACCATCCAGCAATATGACAGCTAGCTAGTAAGAATGAAGCTTCCAGACTGGCATCAGCTTGATTTCTGCATTGTCCATGAGTCCAGTATATAGTGTTTTCAGCAATAGGGTCTCACTATCAAGTTCTAGAGGGTAATCAAGAGCAATGGCAATAGCCTGTAAAGTTTAAAGGTCTATGGGACCCCACTGACCAACAACTTCCAAAGAGATAACCCATTTCTGGCACTGGGCTTCTTATTTAAAAGCCTATGGTGTCTAGGAGAGCCATTGTCCCCATTATAAGGTAACTACACTTAAACTACA